GGGGGCCCTCTTCTACCACCAAACTGTGGGGGACCCACCCCCATACCTGACACTGCCCTCCACATGGACATGGTCTGGCCTACCCCTTTCCCCCATTCTTGGAATCCCCTTTCTCCTACCACCTCTGTTCCAGACTCCCCATCCCCACTCACTCCCATTTCCTGCCCCACCTTGTAGCACCTATTCCTCCTCCACCATCACCTCACCCCTACAGACTCTACCTGGATCACCAAGCCATGCCCATGTGACACCAGGGTCTCAGGTCCTTGTGTGGCCTTGCAATTTTTGGACAGAAGAGCATGGGATTTGGTACCATTCCTGGATCCAAACTTTGGGGATCTCACTCCCCATGGGGATTGGGTACTCTGGACCCACCTCCCTGTACAGACTGACCCCTCCCCAGGGAGGGAAGCTGTACTTTGTGGAGGAAGGGGCGGGATCCATCGGGCAGCAGCTAACTAGCCCTGACCTGTGCCCTGGGTCTCCTATCTCCAGGCAGAGAGAAGAGCCTGTAAAACTGTCTGCCAAGCATGCAGATCACCCTCTGCACTAATGTACAGGGCAAGCTGTTTGAAATCAACTGGCTGAACTTCAGCCAACTGAACTTCAACCAGTTGATTTGAACTTCACCCTAAGTAAACAGTAACACATACCCAGGAAAAACTCCTTCTGACCTCAAGGAGTTATGAGAAGAGAGGGCAGACTTAAGCCCTGCTGGCCACATCTATATGAGATGCTGACTGCACAGTAGCCTGAGACTACTGAGCAGTAGCGTCACATGGCAGAAAGTGTGATGCAATGCTACTGCACAGTAGTCTCCAGCTTCTGTGCAGTCAGCGTCATGAAAAAGCCGTTTGACTACACTACTGCATGGTAACTCTGGTTACTCTGTTTAAATGACTGTGCAGTCACAACTATGCTGTCAGCATCTTATGTAGATGTAGCCACCAAGAAGATTTTCTTTTCATTCCCAATAGTTCTTTCCCATTCTTTTCATTAGTGTTACACTACAGTAACAGGGTAGAATTTGATCCCATGTGTGCAAAAAGTAGGAAAAGCAACTAAAACCATGGGGAAAAATTAAGCAGACTCCAGTACCCTGATCTTGAGTGTGTGAGTGAGCCCAAGATAGAAAAATGGTGATAGAAAAAGCAGCTGACCAGTTAGCAAGATATCCTCAGTCCTGTGCACTTAAATTTGTGTTATCCCACTAGTGGCCTTGGGTGTTTCCTCATGCCTCAAACCACTGAAGTGGCCAAACCAAGGATGGAGAGTACCTGAACTTACATCTAGAACAGCTATATACTCAGGACCAGGAAGGAAACAAGTACAGTATACAAGGCTTTTGTCAACTGAGAGAGGCAGGAGGCTTTTAAGTGGTCAACCCTTGGGTCTTAGAAGGCTTGAGATGAGCCAGGGATTTGCATCTCAGGTATGACAGAGAAGCAGGTAGGGAGACTCAGGTTTAAGGAGGGAGGTGGCTATTGTAGGGGAACTATGATGGAGAGATGGGACTGAATTTGCTCAACTCACTTTCTTTACTGTAGCATGAGCTACAGAGCGTGCTTATCCACTGAAGTAAAGATTAAATTCAAACTGCCTAGGAAAACAAAAAGTCTCTTTTGCCTTTGCGGAACTATAAAAAACCTGAAATATTAAAAGTAGTAAAACTTATAGAAGTACAGCATGGAAATTGAAAATCTCTTCTATCATATTTTTCCTGGAAAACTCAATAGATAGCTGCAAAACCATAAGTATTATATTAGCACAGACTCAGAATAGCATATTTGAGGTAGAAAGTGATTTTTTTCTCCATTGAGTTGTTATTTTAATTAACCTTTATTTATGTCAAGTACCTGACAGGCAGAATGCACAAGTATATTTGTCAGAGACACAGCTCTGATCCATGCATCTTCAATTAAGGGAAGTCTGTCATATACTGGTGTCCTCTAGTGCATACTTTTGCACAACTAGGCAAGACAAGAGAGAGAAAACAAACAAACAGCTTTCTAAAACTTTTCTATTTTTCAAAGTGATTTTTTTTTTCTCAAAATATGAGTTAGAAGAAAAGGAAAGGCATAGGCCTGGATTTTTTTCTTCCTTCATTCTCCTATTTATAGTACATTTTATATAGCCACTAATGTGGCTATTAGGCAAATACCACCTCTGTTGGGTAATCATTTTTTGTTGATTATGGGCAGTTGGTAAAATTAGGACAATTTACCAGAACTATTAAATAA